ATGGCCACTCCCCCCCTTTTCCTGCTAGGTCTTCCTCAGCCATAGACTGTTGCTGGCCAACCTCATAACCCACAACTAGTTTAGTTTAGGGTTTGGGTTCCCGCACAGTTTGCGGATGTTCCCTGCTTTTCCGCCGTCGGCTTCCAACAGAACTTGACGGTTCCAGGTCTCAGCTATCTCACCCCCGTGCCCTTAGATACAGCTTCAAGCAACCGGGGCATGTTCTGATGCCACGTCCCAACTCCTTAACCTCAAACCCTACACTCTAAACCTCACCTGAGCCTTAGCCCTAAGCCTTTAACCTCAACCATCAAGTTCCCCGAGTACCACGGCCCACCAGCACTGAAGGATGCTGGTCGCCCAAGAAAAGGGCCATGTACCTTCAAGATAGTCTGGCTGCGTAGAGCGGGGATACCATTTAGGTCTTATCATATTCATGGCGACACCCTAACCCAGAACCATAAACCTTAAACCCCTAAATCCGGCGACAGACCGTGGGATAATCCTCCGAGGTCAAGGTCTGGGTTTCGGAAGACCGAAAGCCAACTTCCCGGACCAGGCATCCTAAACCCTAAACCAATGGCTCTTCAGAAATCCCAGCTCCACCGAACAAAGCTCAAGCACCTGTAATTAGGCAGCTTGCGAGTAGTGCCCTTTTTGATTTTTTTTATTGTAGGGCTCCCTTATTAAAGCCGAAAATTAGGAAAAAACGTCTACCCTGACTATTAAACGGTCACTCAGGAACCTAGCTTCCCCGACTCACCCTAAACCCTAAACCCCTAAACCCGAAAGCAAGGTCTACTTCAGCCACAACCCCACGGGGGTCACACAATGGGACTTCCCAACTGGCCCGCCGAGCACCGCTCAAGCCGGGGAGCCCAAGATCCGCGACGAAGACGTGCGTTGGGTCGGGGTTTAGGGTTTAGGATTTGGGGTTTAGGGTTTATATTTAGGGTTTAGGGTCTAGGGTTTAAGGGTTAGGGTTTAGGGTTTATGGTCTAGGGTTTAGGGTTTATATAGGGGAGAAAGGCACCCCAAAAGGACACAAGCTTAGGCATTTTTGACAGAAATGGCCATACTACGAACCGTGTTCCGTTGTAAGGGTATCTGTATGATGGGAGATTCCTAGCATATATGTTTCTTATGCGCATCTTGCAGGCTTTATTGAATCGTGGGATGATGCTGTCGTCAGCGAAGTTCGATTCAGAGGACGCTTGAGGGATCAATCCCCGTCCCAAGGCTGCTACTGCGATGATAATAATAACTTGCAAGCCTGAAGCATAGAAGAAAGAATTCCGTGACAGTAGCCACTGTGAGAAGATGACTGCCTATGACCCATGCGGATGTTGAAGCATTTAAAGTATGTAGTGCGAGACAGACCATGTCAAATAGGTCCTCCGCAACTGCAGCAACCGACAAAGTCCATCTGCTCGAAGATGACCGCTTGGAGTATTTAATGCATGCAGTGTCAGACAGACCAAGGTAGATGTCTCGTAGCCACTGAGAGTTTCCCGGTGTGCAACAGACATGCACTTCATACTTGGAGAGTTTGATACTGTTGGTGATCGAAATCCTGCATTACCTTAAGGACCCTAGACTATGGGAATTATGGTATATTCCTTATTATTGGTCATGCAGGATTTATATCATCAACCGTAGTTTGATAATTCCGTCAACGGTTTTGCTTCCGTAAAGCCTGACGGGAGGGAGCCTTTCGTAACACCCGAAAGCTGCCGAAAGCCCCCTCTACCCTAAACCCTAAACCCCAAACCCTAAACCTATACCTGCATCCAAACCATACTAAGATAGCAAAACCTACAAAGAAGCACAACACATGCTATGAAGACCATCTAAGTTGGGCAAGCACGAAAGGTTGCTGCTATCGAGGGCCTAGGTAGACCCTAAACCCTTTGAGCTCGAAGCTCTGATTCCGAAAGGCCTAAACCCTAGACCCAAAGCCCTCAGCCCTAAACCCTAGACCCAAAGCCCTCAGCCCTACACCCTAGACCCTGAGCCCACAGCCCTAAAGCCTAGGCCCTAAAAACCCGTACCCTGAACCCAATGACCCTAAGCCCTCAGCGCTAAAGCCTAGACTCTAAGCCCTCAGCCCTAAATCCCAGAGACCCTCGAGAACCCGAAACCGCAGGTCGAGCAGGTCAAGGCAGAGCGGGGGCAAAGGTACGACCACAGGCCTGGCTGAGGGCGTCGATTTAGGGTTTAGGGGGTTTAGGGGGTTTAGGGGGCTTAGGGCTTTAGGGGGTGTGGGGTTTAGGGGTTTGGGGTTTAGGGTTTAGGGGGTTTAGGGTTTAGGGTTTGGGGTTTAGGGGTTTAGGGGTGCAGGGGTGTGGAGTTTACGGGTTTAGAGGTTTAGGGTTTAGGGATGTTATGAGTCTGGGCTACGAAACTTTTGAGTGCAACAGGCTGCAGGGCTGCATATATAGGGGTTTAGCCTGGTTGAGCAAGCAAACCTGACCTTAGAATCCTAGGACATGTTGTCAAGGGACTAAAGGAGAGACCCTTAAAGGGACCTTGGGGTTATATAGGGCTTTATGGGTCCCATCTAGGGGTCCCTCCTATTGCCCCTTAATGTTGTTTTTTGTTTGCTAAGCTCCGAGCCCTTGTGCCTGCATGACCCACGTGCGCTTTGTGATCCAAGCACTAAACCATAAAACCCTGAAGCCCTGAACCCTAAATCCTAAGCCTTACAACCCTGAATCCTAAACCCGAAACCCGGAACCCGAAATAAAGCGATTCAATAGCTGAAGCCTTTTGGCTCTGCGAATGCCATAGTCTTGAGTGCATGCTGACTCATGAAGCGCTGCTACTCTTGAACGCAAATGACACGTTTGCAGCAGATGCCGTGCTAGCCATGCACGAGCATACATGTGATGCACATGGTATGTATGTCTGTATATATATATATATGTATATATAAGTATATGTGTGTATATATATATATACACATGTACACAGACACTCCAACACCCCACACCCGTCTTCATGTGTAACCAGGAGACCTTGAAGCATTAAAGAGCCCTAAGAACCTGAACCCAAAACCTTAGCACCCCTGAACCCTTAATTCCGAAAGCCCTAAGACCCTCAAGCCTAAAGCCCTAAAAGCCTAAACGGCCCAGAACCCTAAACCCTAAAATCCCAAAGCCCTAAACCCTGAAACCTTAAACCCTAAAACCCTAAACCCTAAGCCTTAAACCCTAAAATCCTAAACCTTAAACCCTAAAACCCTAAACCCTAAAACCCGAAACCTTACACCTAAACCCTAGGCCTTAAACCCTAAACCTTAAAACCCTAAACCCTAAACAACCCTAGACCTGTCGTCTTACGACCCCTTTTCGACTCTTAGAAGCAGGCTCGAAAAAAGCCAAGGGACCTCTATTTACAGCTTAGGGTTTAGGGTTTAGGAATGAATCACCGCAACACCCCGGCTACTATGGCGTCTCCATTGCAGTTCCTTTTTTAGGTTAACCCAATTCTATATTTAGGATCCTAAAAGGCAACTACCAGGGAGACTGTAGGGAACCCTTAGTATATGGATACTTGGAGAAGCACCTTGCCGGGCGATGAAGCGGCCGAGCGCCCAGAAGCCGCGCGTGCGAAAGCTGGGCTCCCAGGGATTTCTCAGAGCCTTGCCGCTAAAGGCTCAGAGACGGTTTAGGGTTTAGGGGTTTAGGGTTTAGGTTAGCCCCAAATAACCTACCTCTTTAAGGACTTACATAAAGAGTTCATAAGAAGGAACCCTCAAAAGGCAGGTTCTTTAGGGTCNNAAACCCGAAACCCTAAACCCTAGGCGTTGTACGGTTTCAGGTCACGAGGGCTTTAGGGTTTAAGGTCTTTCCCTTCTTCTTGATTTAAGGGTCAGGGATTCTAGTACGTGCTTGGGCTAGCCAAAAAAGACAGAATTTCCTTAACCCTAAACCTTAAACCC